TGCTAATGAAGTGGGGGATATTTTATTTTGAAATAGAGCTCAGCAGTGGACCAACCGTAACGGACGCACTAGGGTTGGGTGTCATTTAAATTAAAGGAGAATGAGAGCTGAAGAAAGAGTGAGAGGAAACACAGCGGTAGAGACAGAATATTACCACATTTATCTCGGTGCATTAAAGGTTTATTTGGACCAGTTCTGACGATGACAACAGTACAGAGGCGATTTACAGCGGCTCAAACCAGGACTCTGACTCCAGGCACGGCGAAGACACGGCGAAGACACGGCGGCGACAGAATATTTCCTATTTTCTAATTTATCTAAGAGTCAGCGATAGTTTGAAGCGTGTTTACGATGCGTGTTTAATAAGGCGTTATAATATTAGCTTTCTTGATATTTTGCGAGTTTATTTAGTCTATTAAAGCTAAGAGAGCTTGTCACGAACTCGCCGCTCATCTCCCAGTTTAAAACCACTGGGTGGCGCAGCGCACGCACGCCGGTTGTTGGGTTGATGGTGGCCGGTTGTTAACATATCGCCCGACCCTCGGAGACACTGATCTACAGTTTCATTACGTATCAGCTGACATGCACAGTCACACACAGGAGTTAAAGTCGACCCAATGCATATATTCTTATCTAATAATTCAAACAATGACTAAAACACATTTTATTCGTAGTTGTCGAGAACATGAGATAAAATGAGGTTTTGCTTTTTTCTGTCAGTGGGTTTCTTTAAAAGCTACAGAGCAGTTTAGCGATCACATTTTTGGTTGCTAACTGTTAAGCTAACAGGCAAGCTCTAGTTCGAGTGAAGCTGTAAAATATATCTGCAATAAGCTAATGTAAGCTAGCCAATTCAACCGCTGCAGCTCTGATGGAAACAACAGTCGTCGTTCATTCGGACTCTGCTGGTGAGCGCTGTAGACCCGACCCTGACTGAAAGCACCAGAACTGCCAGCTCAGATCATAACAGCAAAGATCAGAATACTGTGAACACGTCGGGTCGACAGGAAGGTTCGTGGGCTGCTCTGGTTTCCTCTGATGAGACCAGAATCTTTCCTGCTCAGGAGAATAAACTCGGCTCGGTCTCTGTGCAGCCCAGATGTCCCGGCCCGGGCAGGCAGCGGTCGAAGCATTTGGCCCGACCTCAATCCATCGGTTCGAGAAGGACTGAAGCCTCTTCGCTGGTGGAGATTTCTTCCACTTCACCTCTGGCGCCCAATCGAGGGACGACCCGTTCGGTCCTGTAACTCGTCAAAGACCAAACACAGACATCACACGGGGCCGGCCTTCTGTGGCTGAGTTGTTTGAGAAATTGTCTCTCAGCACTTTAAACGGCTTCAAATGTTTTTTGCTAACAAACGACTCCAGCAGCACAGCCAGCTGTACCGCCGACGCCGCAGGACGCACAGGAGTCCCTGTAACCACACAACGTCTCCCAAACTGATCCTCCGTTGTGATGTCTTCCGCTCCCTCAGCACATGGAGATGGTGACGTTGATCCCCAGGTTGCCGTTGTCGGCAAACAGATGGGCGATGGAGGTGTCGAACACCAGGCAGTCGCTGTTCATGATGGCGGCCGCCACCCCGTCGTGGATGGAGCGTGGCGTGGCCTCCCAGGTGAGCCGCCGTCGGTTGCCGTTGAGCTCCAGGCGATAGGCGAAGTTCTCAGCTTGCTTGCGGGTGCCGATGAGCAGCACGACGGCGAAGAACTGCTGGTGGCCTTCGTACTTCTCCTGCTTCTCCAGGACCAGCATGAAGTGGTGGCTGAAACACGACTGCATCATCACCCAGTCCACGGCGCCTGGCAAGTTGATGTCCGTCGCCAGGAAGACGATGTCCTCCCCCTGCAGACACAGAGAAAGACATTTACATCCTCCAAAGAAAGTTTGGATGATTAAAAATCAAGGTAATCGTGGTGAACATTAGAGGTAATGGTGAAGCAAATCGTGATTTCATGATGATATCTAAGAAGTTTAGGAGAGTAATTGCATAAATTGCCAGCTATTGCTGAAGTTCGTATGCTCGTGGTATTTCAAGGCAGTGGCAGTTCAAATACAAATTTATGGAGCAGATACGCACTAGGAGATAGATATAGCCGAGAGCAGGAGGCTTTGTAAGACGTAGATGAGGCACAGATAGAGTGACTGATCAGATAGATAGAACTTTAAAGGCTTAAACAAGCTTTTGTATTTAAAACCGATATCCCTAAAAAAGGCATGGTCATAGATATGTAGAGCGTATAGATTTACTGAGCAATAGAAGCCAGAGATAACGCATCACCATACACGGAGAGTACTGTTTATTTATCCCGAGGGAAATTCAAAGCATCCAGTAGCATACACAAATACAAACATACATTAAAATTACATTAAACTAAAAATTTAAAAAACCCTGACCTTAAGAAAACAGAATCAAAATAAGATAAAAGATAAAGATGTAAAGTATTATGTTAATGTATATATATCTCAAAAGAACAGTAAGCTATAGTAAACATTGCAAACAAGTAAACAGTGCAAATACAGGTAGACCAATGTCTTTTGTCTAAATTGTCCTCCCTGCCTTTACTGAGAGCTGGTTCTCCAGTCTGATGGGGGAATGAAAGAGTCTCGTTGTCTCTGTTGGTGGAGCTGGACTGGGACAGCAGTCAGCCACTGAACAACACTCCTCTGCCTGCTGAAGGTGTTGAAGCAGAGGGTGGTGGGCGTTGTCCAGTATGGACAGCAGGTTTGTCCAGGTTCGCTTCTCTCTGCCACTGTCACCCAAGAGAGTCCAGCTCTGTGGCCACCACTTGAGCCAGCTCTGCTCACCAGTCTGTTCCAGTCGACCGGTGTCCTCTCCTCTTGCTGCTTCCCTCCCCCAGAAACCAACAGCATAAAAGAGGACGCTGGCCCACCACAGACTGGGTAGAACATCTGCAGCAGTTTTTTTACAGATGTTGAAGGACCGCTCAGTCTCTCAGGAAGTACAGACCGGCTCTGTCCTTTCCCTGTGTAAAGTGTCAATGTTGTGGTCCAGCCTTGTCGTCCAGCCTGCAGCCCAGTTATTTATAGTTCGCAGGACCACCTCCCACATCGACCCCCTCGATGGACGCGGGTTGGAGAGTTGGTTTCTTCCTTCTGAAGTCCACCACATCTCCTTGGTCTTTGGAGGTGCCTGCAGATGGTTGGACCTGCACCGACCTCACGAAGTCCTCAACCAGGCCTGCAACTGGTACTCCCCCCTCCCGTCAATGCCCTTGGATACAGCCCACTATCGCAGTGTCGTCGAATATTTGTGCGTGGTGGCAGAGCCCCGGAGTTGTACTGGAGTCGGATGTGTATCACGGTGAATAGGGACGGGAGAAAGCCACGGTCCCCTGTGGTGTCCGGTGCTGCTGACCACAGTGTCCACAGTGTCCACAGTGTCCATCAGTGCCAACAGTGTCACAGTGTCCACAGTGTCCACAGTGGGTCCACAGTGTCGGCTGCACGTCAGACAACCTTTTTTTGGGGGGGGGGTGGACACTGTGGACACCT